TTTGGGTTCTTAAGGTAGGGCTTAGTGTATAGGGTTTAGAGTTTGGGGTTTAGGGTTGAGGAAAAGGTTTATAGGGTTTAGGGTTTAGGGGTAGGGCTCAGGGTGTAGAGTTTGGGTAGTTCTCTAGATTTTTGTGTAGGTCCCAGAATAGTCGAGTACGGCACCCTGATAAATCCACTTTTGAGAACTACCCATTAAGGGGGGAGGGTAAGTATGCGGCGGTGTAGGGTAAGTCGTCGTTTGCACGACGCTAATTCCAGTAACTTGGGACTTTCAGGCAGCAAAGTTCGGAAGTAGAGTCCGTTCATAGTACAAAAGCATGATATCTTCTTCTCGGAGCTCTAAGACACTTTTCAAAGCATAGAGCATACGCCCACTATGAGCAACCCGCAGCTCTGAACCCTGAAGCCCTAAACACTAAACCGCTAGTCCTTAAGGGTGTACGTACTCAATACCCCTATACTCTCCCAAAAAGGGTTTAGGGCTTAGGGTTTAGGGTTTGGGTTTAGGGGTTTAGGGTATACTGACCTACATAACTTCTATCCTATACCCGAGTGTCTCATTATCGAGTCCTTGGGCCCTTAGAAGACCCTATAAACATCCTGTCAGAACCCCTGTACAACCATGAGAGAGCCCTTATAGAAACCCTAAACCCTCAACCCTAAATCCTAAAACCCTAAACCCCCTAGTCATTGGGTTCTTTGGACCGTTGGGGAGTTGAGGTATCGAGCTCACGCTGACGCTACGGACCTGCGCGGACAAACCCCTCTCTTCCAGGCCTAGAGCCGTTCCGATTACATGAAGGTCCTACATAAGCTGGGCTTTGGAGTACCATACTTTAATACTTTCTTGGGGGACCTGTGCCTCAAAGGAACCATTATGAAGTAGAAGTCTATACTTTTTTCTGCCTGGTTATTTCAAAATCCAGAGAACGATTGTCTTGGCATTCTTCTGGTTGGCTCTTTGGACTTTAACTTTTTGGGTTTCTATATGAACTATAATATGTAGGCTAAAAGTTTAACTTTTAGGAGGGGTTCAGAAGTCAGCCAAGTTATGAAGGTGCTCCATAAGGCAAATGCAACACGTGGCGGACTGAGCTAATCAATAAGAAATAGGAAAGAGAAGAGCCACTCGACAGAACAAACGGTATTGCATGATTGATAATATCAACAATGGGGGTTTTAGTAGCAGTACAGAATAGAAGCCGCGCCAGGAGCTTTCAAGAATACTAGTACTCAGGCGTCTCAAAAGGTGGCATGAAGGTCGGTGACTTAAAAATTCTTTCTACATGAGACCCTTATTTGGGAATCCCCCTACATACCTTCATCCCACCTGTTGGACCCTTTGAACCAAGCAGAATCTCGGAAGCAGCGCTAGCAGTATCGAGGAAGATTCAAGAAAAAGAGACGACAGCAGCCAGCGTGCTATCACCACTAGCGCCACAGCCACCTCTGCCCTCGGTCATTTTTGTGTTTCGTGTTTAGCTTTTTAGGGTTGGGTTTAGGGTTTTAGGGTTTTAGGGTTTTAGAGTTTAGGGTTTAGGGTTTGAGTGTCAGTTTCACCCGAACCCGTAAACCCTAAACCCCAAATTGCCAAACATCAATTTAGAGTTTCGGGATGTTCGGGTTTACGATCCTCGTGGCTTCTTTGCTGCGGTGATATAGGCGTTTTATCTTATATTTGTATCGCAAGACTATAGGTTCTGAAGGTTCTATGTTATGCTTCTTACGTATTCATTTAGGTGCAGATATTGTTGTCCCTGATCAGGAACCGTCAAGCCAAACCTTCCAAACAGGGTGTGGTGGGACGGCTTGGCCGCATTGCCCTTTTTTCCTCAGTGCCGAAGCTGCTGCTATCTTCTTGTAGGTTTCTTCGATCCAAGTGAAGCCATGGCCCTGATTGTGACGGCTCTGCATTCGTCACTCACATCCCAAAGGCAGAGCCGCCGCAAGCTCCCAAGCCACGCAGCAGGCCAGGCGGTACCACCGCTGATTCCCCTGTCCGTGCCAGAGAGCATCGGCATGCCGGCAACAGCGGTCGTGCAGCAGAGTGGGGTGACGTACTTCGGAATCGAGGTAAAGCAGGAGACCGGCGCAACCTACACCGTTAAGAAGAGGTATCAGGATTTCGAAACCTTAAAGGACAAGCTCGTTACACTCGCACCAACATCGATGATCGATCAACATTTCCCGCGCAAGCACATGTTCGGCTGCCAGGGCCACAAGCTTTAGGCGCGGCGACATGGCTTAGAGCTCTGGCTCAAAGGTGCATTGTTCACCCATGACTTGGCTCCTGGCTGGTGCTTGAGTCTGCGCAGCTTCCTGGAGGTAGATCGAATCCAGGCGCTTCCTGCGCAAGCCTTGCATGACACATCCCGGTTGTCAGCTCCTTCATCGCGTTCTACATCGCCAGAGATAGAAATGTCGAAGGGGCAGCCGATGCAAGTTCTCGTGCCGGATGGTGTGGAGTGTGGACAGACTCTGGCAGTTAGGACCCCTGATGGCAAGGATGCAGCACTCATTGTTCCTGCCGGCTTTTCCGGTGGATCTGAGCTTCTGGTGTGGTTCGATGCGGAGGCCGGGATACTGAGACCGTTTGGTCAACTTGCCTAAGTCCCTGCCCTTCATTTGCCTGGTCGTCACCTCGCTTAGCCCAAAATGGGCACAATCCATGTTTTGTGTTTGCTCTTGTGTAGCAAACCCAATCAGATCAATCAGTTTGGTCGACCCTAAACCCTAAATCCTAAACCCTAAACCCTAAAACCCCTAAACCCTAAACCCTAAACCCCTAAACCCCTAAACCCTAAACCCTAAACCCCTAAACCCTAAACCCTAAACCCTGAAGTTTTGGT